ATATATATATTTGAAGTATATTTGCTCTATCCAATTTGTTTCTTAAATCGGTTCAGCATTAGATTTAAAAAAAAAAAACCGATTACTTTGCTGAAATGCTAGATATATTTGGAAAACGTTAATAATGTTTGAGTTGAAAAAGATGTTTTCAGGTAGCGCTGCGAACACGCAAACAAGATTTGCAATGTTTGTAGCGCCACCTGAAACATATTAAGTTTACTGTATAAAATCGTTTGTAGCAGCGCCATCTAAAGTATTGTATATTTTTATTTAACAAAATATTTATTTATTTTTCTCTGTTTTGGTTTTGTTTGTTTGTTTTGAATGAATGAAAAAATAACCAAAGAAGATTTTTTTCTTTTAATTCATGAGTGATTTTTCATTGTAATATAAATTAATATTGTTTAAGATTATATTTATTGAAATATATAAACTTTTAAAGAAATCGCTCTGTAATAAGTGATTTTTTTAAGTTTTAACGTGATATTTTTTTAAATATTTTTTTATATTATGTAATTCTAACTCTAATAAAACTTCGATTTAAGAGTGGTATCATTTTATACTACTTATCTGAAAATATTTTCTAATGATTTATTTACAGTAATAGATTCTGTATTTAATTTATAAATAAAGAAGCTCAATAATTATTATTACTTTTTAAAGTTTCTTATTATATATTACAAAGTATTATATTTCTTTAATTGCATTTTTTTCTAGAACATTATAACTAAAAAAAAAAAGACTTCTTGCTTAAACTGCTTTGAGGTATCACCTCTTGGTATTTCTGACATAGTTCTTGAATTTGAATGTTATATTATGCATTTAATAAAAAATTAAACTTTATAATGCACAATGAATATACAAGATGACCTAAAAGTCAGTTAACCGAAATATATATTATAAGCCGATTAAAGCCGGTTTATAACAGCGAAGCGACTGTAGCTTGTTTCAATCAGTTTAAACTGATTATATATATATTATTCAACTTACTTTTGGTCTAATTTGTATTTAGAACAACGAAAAACATTAATAAACGAATTATATAGTAATATTTTAAGAAGAAAAATTGAGTTAAATAACATTTTAATTAGCAATTTTTCGTGAGAAAAACCAGACAAGTTTTAAAATTATTATACTGTTCAAATTCAATTTCTGAAATAAATATTACGTTGTTGTATATCTGCTTTCTTTTACTTTAATACTGGCTCTCGTTAACGTTAATTTAATTTTTTAATTCAATTTTTAGGTTAGCCGTCTGTTGTTGTTAGCTGGTGCTAATCCAGACTATCGTACCAGTTACCTTGATAATGCCCCTTTACTTTGCTTCGCCGCTCACGAGGGTTATATCGAAATGGTGACGTCATTGCTCGAATTCGGTGCTGATGTCAATGCTTCAACTGATGCTGGAATGAGTTCACTTTCTTTAGCAAGCAGACGTGGCCATTTAGAAATCGTTAGGCAAATGGTCACATGGGGTGCAAAGGTAGATGTTTATTCATTTATAAAAACACACACGAATGTATTACACAACTCTATTGTAATAAATCATTGTGTAGTAAAAGCAATATTGATTATTTTTATCAATAAACTCTTCAAAAATTTATAAATATTACGTTAATTATTTACGAACCATTAAATGATGAATTAACTTTATTTTCAGATAAATCAAACGGATAATAATGGACAATGTCCATTAGTTCACGCGTCACTAAATGGATATCTTGATATAGTTAGTTATTTAATTCAGTACGACTGGCCTCCTGACAATAAAGATGATCCAGGTCTAGCCAGGGCTGCTCAGCAATCTTTAGTAGCCGCTTCTAGGCGTGGTCACGTTACAGTAAGTAATTCAGCTAAGAGTTGAACCTTACAAATGTACTATCGATCGCTTGAATCATCATGTATTTTTTCTTTCTCTCCAGGTTTGCGAATTCCTTTTAGACATGGCTGAAGTAGATGTTAATTCAACAGACGATCTAACTGGTCAAACTCCATTAACAGCTGCGTGCTCAGCCGGCCACAGTAATATCTGCGAAGTGCTAATCCAAAGAGGTGCTACTTTATCAGCTCTCAATCGACAGAGAGAACCTCCACTTGTCTGTGCTGTGGTTGATGGTGATTGGAAAGTTGCAAAATTGCTTTTAACTCATGAGGGATCACTTGAATTGTCAGATGGACAAGGAAGGACTCCTTTAATGTTTGCAGCAATGAAAGGTCATATGGGGGTATTGGAATTGCTTCTTTCTAAAGGTAATTCCATAAAATTACATAAAAAATGTATTATAATTAGTAAAAATATGTACTTATATTCATATTCGGTAATTTCATCAAATCAATGCTTTTCCCATGTTGCTTTATTAAAGTAAAACCATTGAAAAATGATGATCTTGACCAATCTAATCATCATCTAAATAAATTAATCTTATATTTAATTATAAATCCTATAAATTTTAAAAATATGCACACTGGTTTGTTTAGATAAATTGCTTTTTTGCCCGTTACACTTCCAAAAATAGAAATGAAGAAAAAAAATATATATATATTTGTTGCTGAAAATATATATATATATATTTTCAGCAACAAATTAAAATAGATATACTTCGTGGTAACAATTTCTACAAATGCTTTCTAAAATAGAAAAACTTCAAACTTATAAAAATGAAATTTATTACATGGTAAAAAGGATACGAAACGAAATTTGCGATCCTAGACTATGTACTAAATTTAGTTTATCTTGTTTTTTTTTTTGTCCATTTGCTATCGTAGATATTATGAAATTATGCGTGAAAGCAAATGTAGAATCTTGTTTACAAAAAAAAGTTTATTGCATAAATATATAAACTCCCAACTCGCATTCTTTGTATTGACCAGAGAAAATAAAATCGAAGATATATTTTCCTCCAACAACTTTTGATAAAATGTATTTATTCTGTTATCAAAATAATGCCATTCGTTAACCCATAGTATCTTGAACGATACAAATGTACATTCTGTACATTATGTTTAATCATTATAATATCGCTAAACTTTAATTATATAGGGATTAGTTAACCGAAAATGGTTATGAACGACAACACACAACTGTCTGAAACCAGTTTTAAGTTAGTAAAAATATTATATATCTAGGTTAACTGACTTTTTGACCACTCTGTATATATATAACTGTTAACATGAAATTATATTTTATATATTATTTTTGTCAGGAGCATCTACAAATAGCACGGATAAGGATGGTCTGACAGCTTTATGTTGGGCGTGCAAAAAAGGACAGTCTATCCAATTTGTTTATTAAATCGGTTCAGCATTAGATTTAAAAAAAAAACCGATTACTTTGCTGCTGAAATGCTAGATATATTTGGAAAACGTTAATAATGTTTGAGTTGAAAAAGATGTTTTCAGGTAGCGCTGCGAACACGCAAACAAGATTTGCAATGTTTGTAGCGCCACCTGAAACATATTAAGTTTACTGTATAAAATCGTTTGTAGCAGCGCCATCTAAAGTATTGTATATTTTTATTTAACAAAATATTTATTTATTTTTCTCTGTTTTGGTTTTGTTTGTTTGTTTTGAATGAATGAAAAAATAACCAAAGAAGATTTTTTTCTTTTAATTCATGAGTGATTTTTCATTGTAATATAAATTAATATTGTTTAAGATTATATTTATTGAAATATATAAACTTTTAAAGAAATCGCTCTGTAATAAGTGATTTTTTTAAGTTTTAACGTGATATTTTTTTAAATATTTTTTTATATTATGTAATTCTAACTCTAATAAAACTTCGATTTAAGAGTGGTATCATTTTATACTACTTATCTGAAAATATTTTCTAATGATTTATTTACAGTAATAGATTCTGTATTTAATTTATAAATAAAGAAGCTCAATAATTATTATTACTTTTTAAAGTTTCTTATTATATATTACAAAGTATTATATTTCTTTAATTGCATTTTTTTCTAGAACATTATAACTAAAAAAAAAAGACTTCTTGCTTAAACTGCTTTGAGGTATCACCTCTTGGTATTTCTGACATAGTTCTTGAATTTGAATGTTATATTATGCATTTAATAAAAAATTAAACTTTATAATGCACAATGAATATACAAGATGACCTAAAAGTCAGTTAACCGAAATATATATTATAAGCCGATTAAAGCCGGTTTATAACAGCGAAGCGACTGTAGCTTGTTTCAATCAGTTTAAACTGATTATATATATATTATTCAACTTACTTTTGGTCTAATTTGTATTTAGAACAACGAAAAACATTAATAAACGAATTATATAGTAATATTTTAAGAAGAAAAATTGAGTTAAATAACATTTTAATTAGCAATTTTTCGTGAGAAAAACCAGACAAGTTTTAAAATTATTATACTGTTCAAATTCAATTTCTGAAATAAATATTACGTTGTTGTATATCTGCTTTCTTTTACTTTAATACTGGCTCTCGTTAACGTTAATTTAATTTTTTAATTCAATTTTTAGGTTAGCCGTCTGTTGTTGTTAGCTGGTGCTAATCCAGACTATCGTACCAGTTACCTTGATAATGCCCCTTTACTTTGCTTCGCCGCTCACGAGGGTTATATCGAAATGGTGACGTCATTGCTCGAATTCGGTGCTGATGTCAATGCTTCAACTGATGCTGGAATGAGTTCACTTTCTTTAGCAAGCAGACGTGGCCATTTAGAAATCGTTAGGCAAATGGTCACATGGGGTGCAAAGGTAGATGTTTATTCATTTATAAAAACACACACGAATGTATTACACAACTCTATTGTAATAAATCATTGTGTAGTAAAAGCAATATTGATTATTTTTATCAATAAACTCTTCAAAAATTTATAAATATTACGTTAATTATTTACGAACCATTAAATGATGAATTAACTTTATTTTCAGATAAATCAAACGGATAATAATGGACAATGTCCATTAGTTCACGCGTCACTAAATGGATATCTTGATATAGTTAGTTATTTAATTCAGTACGACTGGCCTCTTGACAATAAAGATGATCCAGGTCTAGCCAGGGCTGCTCAGCAATCTTTAGTAGCCGCTTCTAGGCGTGGTCACGTTACAGTAAGTAATTCAGCTAAGAGTTGAACCTTACAAATGTACTATCGATCGCTTGAATCATCATGTATTTTTTCTTTCTCTCCAGGTTTGCGAATTCCTTTTAGACATGGCTGAAGTAGATGTTAATTCAACAGACGATCTAACTGGTCAAACTCCATTAACAGCTGCGTGCTCAGCCGGCCACAGTAATATCTNATTAAAATTTTTTTTTGTTATTTTATTTTATTTTTATTTTATTTACATGGTAACGAATTTGTATATTCTTTTCAATTCCTTTAAACTCAATTGTAAACGAAATCTAATTTACTATTGTTTCTTTTAGATAAAAATAGATTACATTGCTGATTTTTGTATAAAAAGTAGCCTGATTGATAAAATTGTTTTCGTATTTTATTAGATTTAGTTGACAATTTTGTTATTGATGTTGAATCGAAGGATTGCTTGATAAAATATTATTAAAACAAGACATAAAAATACGCCATTTTCCTTCCTATAACATATAAAAATTGTACGCAAATTCTCAAGTATTTCGAATGAAGACAGGCATGTATAGGCCTATATATATCATGTATTTTTATAAAGGAAGGACGACAGGATGTTAGTAATTTCATATTCTCTTTGTTAATTTACATAGAAATTACCGAGAAAGTAACTTAAAAAAGAAAATTTAATTTAATTTTTATTAGTAAAAAATAAAATTCTTGGAAAGGAAGATAAATCTGATACGATATTGAATGAGATAAATGATGTTATCTCTTCATAGCAGGTGTTTTTTTTCCTTTCTTTCTAGAATTTATTCCTTTCGTGTAAACACGATTTTCGTTTATTTAATTGTTTTAATTTATTTAATACAGCTAATATTAATGTATATAGGTTATACACGATTGTTAATTAATGATTTATTAGGCTGGTAGACTCTTTATAATTAGTTTAATGAGAGTTAAAAAGCTATAAATGATAACTTTCGTTAAGACATGTTTATGCATAATTTATAGTCTTTCTCTCTCACTAATTTTGAAATTTTGATTTAAATATTTTTATTAGGACCTAAACAAAAAAATTCGTTTGTTAGCTTAATATTAATAATGCATTTATTACTTTTTTTAATATAAATTATTGTTAAAATTTAGTCTAACTCCACGTTCTCTGTTACGTTATTGATCATTACTATTTTCTTTTAATTATAACAGTGAAGGAGAGAAACGTCATTTATCATCTAATTTTCGATCGTTACGTTAGAATATAAGAAAAATTTCAATTGGTTATTTATTGGAGGTAATTGAGGTAATAAAAAAAAAGCCATAAAATTCCTATAAATCTTAATTGACGTAATGAAAATGATGTTATTACTTTACTTAACACCCATTGAAAAATTGGAAGCTAATTATTACGAATTAATTCTTGAAAAATTCCAAAAATTATGAAAATTTTCCTTTTAATTTTATTAGAAAATTATTAATAATAAACATTAATAAGTATTAATAAATATATTCAAGAATTAGGTTTACATCTTTAAGGAGTTGTATGACTTACTGATTAGGAAACAATTGAATGAAGAATAAAATAAAAAGTTATTTAATGCTTTTACAAAATAAAATTTGATTAATTTGTATATTTTCTCACTGTTTATTTTATTTTTAAACTAAATTGTATCTAAACAATTGATGCAGTTATAACTGTATCATTTATCAATACTTAAATCTAAAGTAGATTCTCTGCTAGATCTGTTGTTATTATAGGGCTATATTATAATTTTCACATTTATTTTATGCTACTAAAACAAGATATCTTTGAATATTTTCTTATTAAAATGTAACTCATATTTATATAAGTCATACAGATAAATTAGATTTGTTTATATTTAAAAATTTTTCGAAGAAGTAAAATTTTTTTTTCTTGCATATTTTCTAGAATATTGATTTCTTTTTTTTCCTGTTGTATATTTATAATATTTAATTTTCAGCTTAGGATGTTGTAAGAGGGGAATATTGATTTGTTTAAGATTAGCGTGTACACAAAGAAAACCGAGTAATTTGTAGTTGAAGGACAGAAAGGAACGATTTATCTTTAGAAAAGTTTACCTTATAGCTGGGTCCTACTTGTATTGTTTCACCTGTTAATGTTGTTGGGAGAAAGTATTGGATGGAGATGTTTTTAGTTCCGTGTCATCACGCCAGATGGTGTGTTCACGTCATTTGGATGTTGAGGTCCATGAACGTGACTCGAATCTATATATTTGTTTATCTTCAAGTTATTTTGAGATATATTTAATATTTTTAAAAGATTTTTCTTTCTCGCTAATTTATACACATTTCCCTATTTAGAAAGAGAGAGATTTTTCTGTCATGCAAACTTTAAATTTATTTACAATCAATCAATTCTAATAGCTGTAGACCATTTATTCGTAACAATTATCTAATTTCACGATCTCCTACTGTTAATTATATAGTACTTACATAATATTTGATGCAAGAATTATCGAAAAGTTTTTTTAAATTTGTAGAAAATATAAACAAATGTTTCTTCTTAATACATTTATTTTATTTATTTATTTCCATTAGTTTCTTGTAATTCAAATGGGAGTTTGTTGTATGTGATATTTTCACGCAAATTCAGGTGATTTTTAAATTTCTAACGAACTTTATAATGCAAATAACATTAACACGAGCGGATGAAATACCATTACGGTAATAACAGTGTTTGGGTGGGGCCATTTACTGTCACATCTCTCAATCAACGACATTTAATGACAGATCATTAACAGCCAGCTACAAAAGTATGTAAATGACAAATTTAGAAACACGTACAAGTAATCAATAACATCAATTATAGTTAAATAATTACTAATCTCTCAAATCCTAGTTTACCTTCTCTCTGGAATTATAGATGCTATCTTAACAGAATTTCATGTTAAATTTCTATGTAGGCTTATTAATTAGTTCTTAATGAATCATTAAATAGTTTAACCTTTTCAGATTAATAAATCAAAACTTGTCTGTTTGTTCGAATTTTAAATGCAACGAAAATGATTTTTATTCTCAAGAAAATTCGGGTGGCATTTAGTAAAATTGTGGACAATTTATTGTATTTACTCGAATAATATATCTATTCTTGTTCATATAAATAAATAATTGAAATATTATGTTTTATTGATGTTGTAAGGCCACACGCAAAGTTTCGACGAAAATTAGCTGATTAAATTTATTTTTTTTAAATCCCATCGAAATTAGAATTTCAATTAAAAATGGTCGCTTAAGTGAAATAAATTGAATATTTCAGATGTAAAATACACAATAAATTCATTTATTTAACACTAGCTATCTCCAATTGCTCGGTCTTTTGAAGGTGGTAATAAAAACAATGGTCTTAGGTCAATAAATGAACATTTTAGTTAGAGTATTTACAATAATGAAACTTCAAAACACAAAAAATTGCTCGGGCTTTAGTGGTGGTTGGGTGACCCCCATAGTATTTTTTTATAAGGTGTTAAAGATTATTCTTGCCAAGTTTGGGACGGATACGTTGAACAGTATAGAACTTTTTACCTAAAATATAGCGGCGCGTATAGCTTCATGGAGCCCAGGAAAATTGAATTAGGGACCCCATGTTGACTTCAGGAACATTTTTCTTCAGGGAAAAATTTTGGGATAGCTTCGTTCGTTTTTTTAACACGATCTCCAGCAGGTTAAGTTCTGCCTTGCGCCAGTGCACCTTGAACCACACCGTTAATCTAGGTCCCAGCTTTAAAATTTGATATTTTTACTACAGTAATGAGTTTATAAAAGATTAGATTTCTGGAGGTCCCAGGCAATTGCTCGTTTTGCCCATAGGATAATATGCCACTATTAACATACATATTTGGACTTTAGATATTGTAGATAAACAATTCCCTTCGCACATATCCTACATTTTGTTTTGTTTACGTCTTAAGAATATTTATTCATAACTTTAAAATTCATAAAGAAATCATGCTTTAATATTATTCAATATATTCCAGACTATCTCTATGAAGGATTTAATACATTTGTTGCACTTTTATATATATATATAACTAGTATCATTTTCTTTATCCATTTACATATTATCTTGCTTCTTTATATAGTCATAAAATTATTTTCGTACTTCAAATAACATTTCTTAGCACTTATTCTAATTACTTTCCCCTTTATGTGGATCTATTGATTTTTTTAATTGGTCAATGAATATTCATTGTCGTTCAGTACACATCATGATACTGTTTAATGTCATTGAATGTAATACAATGTTAAAGTGTTCTTTTGGGAAATTCAACGACCTTTGATAGTTTTTATAGTAGTAGTTAAATATGCTAAAGACGTGCTTTTTTTCATTAATAGCCCTGATGTATTTTTTCCTAAATTTTTTTATTTTTTTGAAATTATATTATAAACTATAGAAAATTAAATTTTATATTCATTAAAACGATTTAGAAAATATAAATTTAATTTTAATATAAGACCAGTTTTAAGTAATGCTACATTTCCTTCTTAATTCGTAATATTAATCCATTTAAATACTATAAAATTGAATAAAAACCTATACAGATACTAGACTTTAAAGTAGATTTGTGGTTTAAATTAATTTTTTACTATTTTAATAATAATAAATTACCCGAGACTTAAAGGATTTTCTTAACTAAGATCGAAAATTTTAAGCTTATTTCAACATTAAATTTCTTAATATAATAAATGCAATTATATTCGTTATAAAACTTTGAGTATATGGAATGATATTAAATTAAATTTTGAATATTAATTCTTATTTTAATTTTTAGGATTATACAACTGCCATAGATGCTGCTGATCAGGCGATACAGATAAAACCGAAATCTTGGGAAGGATATTATGTTCGTGCTAGAGCCACAAGTGATAGCGGGTAAGCATTAAAAAATTTAATATTTTAAATAAATCATTTAATATAATACATGTTTAATTATTTCATTTAGTTTTAATAATAAACCTATAACTAAGAAATTTTTGCCAAATCTACAAGGAAAAAAAAATATCCTAAATAAATCTAAAACAATCTTAATTAAAATTCTAGATATTTTTTTTTTTCTTATTCAAATAATTCATTATTAAAATGTTAATGTTTTTGTCATAATTTTAACAGAGTAAAGTATGCATTAAAATATTTTTATTCCGTTTTAATTCCTAAATCCTTTTTCAAGGTTATTACGTTAACCTATTTTTATCATTAAAATCAATATATGTTGTATATAATTCATTAGGGCATATTTGGAAAATGTTTCCTTCTCTGTGGATTTATTTGTACTTATTAAAAGTTGAAATATTAAAAATTAAATCTACAAAATTAGTTTTTATTTTTCTTATGCATGATTAGAATTTAAAATTAACACTTCAATAACGCTACAAAATTTAAAGTAATAATTTTTAATTATTTTATTATAAAATGTTAGAAGGATTTTAAAGCTGAAGGAATAATTTTAAAGGGATTTACACATTTTTCACAAATATATAAATTTATTTCTTATGATTGTTGTAATCTGGGCCTTCGAGAGCTTATATGGAACTCTTTAACCTTTTGTTTTTTTTTCTTTTTTTGAATAAATGAAATATGTAGAATGTTTTTTAATTAATAAAAAGTAGCCTCAAAGTGTTTTAACGGTATTTTTAATAACAGAAATTTTATAAGCGTAGGAATAATTATAGGTCCTATCCCTGCTCCTTTCTCGATGACCCTGGTCATAACCACTGTTAAAACGAGTAATTATTTATTGTAACATCGTGACAATGCTTTCAATTTTAATAGTGTCATGCCCCTGTACATCATACTTTTCCTGTTAATAATAGTCATGACGGTCATCTAACTCCGTCCAGGGGAAAACTTTAGAACTGTAATAACTTAACTTTCGCTGCAAATTGGAAGTTCATTTATAGTTAATCGGGGCCTCCTATCCCTAAGCTTTTCATATCTGGCCTCTATTTTCTTCTATGTGTCTTTGTTCTCGAGATTAAGGAAGGACAGACAAGCGGACGAACGTGGGAATTTATTTTTAAAAATTCCAGCTCAATAGATAATATATTAAATGTAACAATGATAATTTTTTAAAAAATATTACTTAAATACTTAATAAAGTTTGAATTCAAACCTACACTTTAAATAAGTAATAAAATATTTTACTAAGTTATCTTTTAAAATCGACAGTTTTAAATTCTTTTACATGTAAATTATTGCATTTGTCTAATTTATGTCCAATATTAGGATAATTTAATGTATGAATAATTCAAAAAAATAAATTACTTCATGTAATCTAACGCTAGTTCTTGGTATTATTTTCGAAGCTAGTTTTATCGTAAATCGTGCATGGACTGTATTTACGTCACAAGAACGGAATAATAGTAGGTTTATGTAATCAATACCAGACTTTTATTGTAGGAAAGTGTTTAAGAACAGCTTTCTCGAGGTCTTTTTTTTACATGATATCATGTATAAGTCATATTTCATCGATCGAGATTCTCAGTCGTGTTTTATATAAATGTCAACGTGCGTCTAGCGTTAATATCCCCCTTAAGAGTAGTGTTACTATCTTATTAGCAAATTACCGTTCTGTTTAATCTCGTATAACGACTTGTAAATTGACGTTAATGAAGATAATTAAGTTCTAACCAATTCACTCATTGTCGATTTTATAAATTGTCTGGTAAATGTTTGCAGATAAACAAAATACTTTTAAAAGCTTCCTGTATTCTGACTGTGTAAATGCTATTGTTGATAAGAGTAATTAATTAAAATCGACTGTTTCTATAAAATATTGATTTCTATCTTGAATTTTATTTGAAATTTATCGCTTTTGTTTTATTTAAATATAAATATATCTCATTTTCTTATAAAATAAGAGATTGAAATTTAGGATTTAGATACAGTTTAGGACCTAACATTTAAAAAACAATTTATTATTTAAGTAATGACAGGGCCTATTATATATTAGGTCCGGATTTACACTTGCTCTAAGCTAAGTTTATAATAAGTAAATGAGCAATTATTTGTTGTGACATCGTTACAATGCCGGGCTGCAATTTTTAATAATACTTTTTAATTTATTTAATTTAAAATATATGCTCTCAATCTCAAATTAGTAGTGGCTTGCCCCTGTACATCATACTTTTCCTTTTACATCAGAGCCATGCCGTCATCTCTCTCACACATTTCAGGGGAAGTTTTCAATTGAAATAACATGACTTCTGGTCTGCATAGGAAGTTTTTCGGAACTTCCTGCCCGTAAGGTTTTCACATCTGGTATCATCCTTCATCCGTTTTCAGATATTAATGAAAGACGAACGGACGGACGACAGTGGGAATTTATAGGTCTACAATTTTTTGAAATTGCAGCCGAATTAAAACAAAAATAATAAATAAAATTGTAAACTTTATTATTACCAATTAAATTAATGCATTTAAGTCGGCAGAAACAAATTTGTTATCTTTTAAATTTTAAAATTGGTTAGAACAGATCAATTTTGTAATTAATTAACGGAGACTTTATACTTTATCCATAAGAAGAAATAATAATATAGATCATTAGAAAACTATCCCATATTTGCATTTTTCATCTTTAAATTAAGCATTCAAAACTCTTCTAATAAATTCAAGTTAAAATTTTTTAAACTTTAATTAATTTATTCTTTAAAACTTTATATCAAATTAATAACTAATTTAACAAAATATCCTTATTTAATTATTTACTAAAGTTTTAGTTTGTAATGCCTACAAAACATTGTCTTAATAAACAACTTTTTGTAAGAAGTGAAAAATTTAAATTGGATCCTTAATACTAATTTTAATTAGTTAAATTCCTTTATTTATATTACTTGCAATGACTTTCATTGTTTATTATTGTTTTATTTTGTGGTGAAGGTTTGAATTCAGATGCCCTTAATTTTAATCGTGTTTTCAAGCTCCTTTAATTTTAATTGATTAAAATTAAGAGCATCTAAAAGTGTTCTTCGGTCAGGATGGTCTACAAACTCGAGTATATCTTATCATTTCAGACGTCCCGAAGAAGCTTTACAAGACATAGAAGAGGCATTAGATATGGTCCCAACAAATAGCGAAATTAGGAAGATTTTATACCGTTTAAAAGACGATATTTTAACTGGTTACGAAAGCTGTAATCTAGAAAATGATGTTTCTTGTAGTACAGATTCTGCTAAATCTAGCAGTACAAGCAGGTAAGATTTTTTTTTAAAAAGAAAACTTTATAAAACGAAAAATTTAATTGTCGAAAGAAAAATATGTAATTTATTTTCTATCAACAGCTGTCTCAGTTCCATGAGGACTCAAACAGGTTCTACGGAGACTATCGATCAATTCTGCGCTTTGTCACTGGATCCTCTTGTGGCATCTAATATCACAAGATTGACTGAAAAAGTCGGTGCTGATGGACTCACTTTTGAGACAGTGATCTAATAACTATTATATATTAAAAAAAATAAAATACCTAGTCTGACGTCATGAAGCGTGTTTAAACAATATTTTATAGTTCGTAAAGCCGAAAGGACAATGAAAAACTGTAAACATCTGGGATAATTAAGTACAGGATGTTATATCAGTATAGCAATTCTCCAGCGGCTGTCTACTGATTGAGATGATCAGTAGAGAAAATAAAAGAAATGAAAAAATATCTGTGTGCAAATAAGCAACAGGAATTACTTCTATGATTCTATATTTCCCCCCCCCCTTCTTCGTACAAAGAAAAAAAAATAAAAATAAAAAAAATAAAAGTTTTTCTCTAGGAAAGAAAAACAAATAAAAATTCCTAATATCAACAAAACTCTTCTCTGTAAATTGGTAGAGTACTTATTGTATGTNTTTTAAAAAGAAAACTTTATAAAACGAAAAATTTAATTGTCGAAAGAAAAATATGTAATTTATTTTCTATCAACAGCTGTCTCAGTTCCATGAGGACTCAAACAGGTTCTACGGAGACTATCGATCAATTCTGCGCTTTGTCACTGGATCCTCTTGTGGCATCTAATATCACAAGATTGACTGAAAAAGTCGGTGCTGATGGACTCACTTTTGAGACAGTGATCTAATAACTATTATATATTAAAAAAAATAAAATACCTAGTCTGACGTCATGAAGCGTGTTTAAACAATATTTTATAGTTCGTAAAGCCGAAAGGACAATGAAAAACTGTAAACATCTGGGATAATTAAGTACAGGATGTTATATCAGTATAGCAATTCTCCAGCGGCTGTCTACTGATTGAGATGATCAGTAGAGAAAATAAAAGAAATGAAAAAATATCTGTGTGCAAATAAGCAACAGGAATTACTTCTATGATTCTATATTTCCCCCCCCCTTCTTCGTACAAAGAAAAAAATAAATAAAAATAAAAAAAATAAAAGTTTTTCTCTAGGAAAGAAAAACAAATAAAAATTCCTAATATCAACAAAACTCTTCTCTGTAAATTGGTAGAGTACTTATTGTATGTAGATTATTCTATAAATTTAAAAAATTAAAAAAAAAATTAACAAAAAAAAGTAATAATAATAATAAACATAAACACTCGAAACATTCTTTGTATTATACGTTGTAAGTATTTTCAAAATTGTCATTATTATTATTATTATTATTATTATTGTTGTTTTATTTTGTGGTGAAGGATTGAATTTAGTAAATTATTGCCGTGAATCTGTGTTATCTGTAGATAGCCCATAGTTGGATAAAATTGAATTTCAAAGTCAAACTGATGTAAACATTGGGAATTTGTTATTTAGATGGGAATAAATATTAGTGTTTTTCTTTTTTAATATTTGTTTTTTATTTTTATTTTATTATTATTTTTATTATTATTATTAATTAATCATCTTCAGAATTGAACTTAAACCTATCTATTAAGGTTTATAAAGTGGATGAATGATCCTTTTCATGTAAACAAAAATAAATTAAAGATTATTCGGATAAATAAATAATATAAAGTATTAAAAATTGAAATCATTAATACTTAAGTAAACACTTCACTAAATTACATTTTACAAAAAATCAATAAAATTTTTAAATGAATTTTAAACAATTATTTACATAAACAGCATTTGAGAGAGGATGATAATTATCAGTTTGTTACAAGAAATATATCACAATTTTTCATTATCTATAATTATTTTAATTATCTCTGAGAATATAAATTAATGCAGCATAGTTATTCATTATATCTACCGAAAATAGAACAACGTGAAACATTTTCTTAATCATCTTTAACGCAGAAATTCTCATAAGGTTGTAGAAAAGACAAGACGTTATTTGAAGTAGAATTTTAAATTCTTATTTTTCTACTTTAGAATTTTAAAAAATAATTTAAAGAAAACTCCAATAATTAATATACAATTCGGTTATATCAATTTTAAAATATGCAGTATAAGATAGTGTAAAAACAGCTATATACTTTAACATGTACGAGTATGTTTCTAATTTATTACTTCTACTGCCATATATTTTTTCTTTTTGTTGCTTTACTACCTTTCATAAATAAAATTCATAATAAAGTGTATAGCTATTTTTGCACCATCCACTTTATTTATTGGCATTTATTTGCACTATTTACACTATTTATTACTAATAATGGGGGATTTCTATATTGCCAGCATTACTATTTTAATCATTATGTATTAATGTTTACGGAACTTAAAAAATGTTAGCCAAAATCACAGGAAATTTGTACATACTGTACGTTAAAATGTATTCGCAGATTGATAACTTTCAATATCATAGGTTTATTCAGAGAGTCTTTGCATCTTCTTAACCAAAATTTAAAATAAGTAACTTATTTATTATTGTAGTTTTCTGATAGTTATAGAAGTAAAATATTTTTTATGTATGTTTTCGCAATTATGTTTAGGCCTATATTTAACAATTCTTAATTTAGTAAATGTAATGCATAATATGAATTTGAAATATGTGTATTTTGTTTGTGTGTGTATGCACGCGCACGATGGACGATGGTCCAAAAATCAGTTAACTATTATCGAGAATAAATTAATAGTGCTTTTTTTTATTCAAATACTTTTATAATCTTTACAAAAGTTTGTTCGAAAGTGAATTTTTTTCTTGATCAATACGCGAATTAACAAATTTAGCTTACGGTTCGTATCCACAAGTATGTCTATAACAAACAAAATCCGGTTAACTGATTTTTGACCATCCTACACTTAAAATAAGAAAAATCGAAGTGTTAATTCTGATTATAAGAATATTTCAAATATTCCACAACTAAATAACTTTATTTTTAATGTTGTTTTAAAGAATTTACTTGAATAAATTATAAATTCATTATATAACAAACAGATGCTTCATTTTCGCATCGTATCTAATCAATACAGGTAAGATCCGACATTCCTATTTGCTTTAATGATGTCAAATTACAATAAATTGCTCTGAAATTGTAACATATATCGTTATATAATTACTAGAATTGTTTCATTATTTAAGAGATACTTTTACGAAAATTACATTTCATTTCGGAAGTGAAGTTACATGACTGATAGTTATCATCTAGATTATATCTGTTTAAGAAATTGCTTTATTATTCTAGATATTTGATTTAACTAACTGATGAGAAATATTCGATATTTACACCAATTCTTGTTGAAGATAAATGAATGTTTTGAAAGTTACTAAAACTTTGATTAATTACAGAGTAGCTGACGTTATTTAGAATTATTTGTATTCCTTATTTTTAGTTTAATCTCGAATATATTTGGTTAAAAGTAATTAAATTAAGTCTATATTTAACCAATAGAAAAATGCATAACATCTTTTCAGCTTTTTGTTTTATAATCAACATTTCATTTTTGTTTTCTGAATAAAAATTTAAGCTGTAATTAGCAGTTTCATTTCATTTACAATTTATTATTCTTTTAAAAATGAATTTATTTTCAGTAATTTTTATCTAGAGGATAATTTGAAAGTCTGCAATTCATTACAAACCATCTGAAGTACTGGATGTACAGTACTGTACTTATAACGTGTGAGCGCAACATACATTTATCAGGATTGAAAAGAATGCTTTCTTAGGTGCATATGTTAACTGCAGAACTATATAATAATATTTTATGTGTTATATAATTCATATTCCATCATGATATTTGAGTTTCAAGATACTAGAAATTTGAAAGAAATGTCTAAAAATTCGTGTTTATTATTTTTCTTACAAAGAAATGCAACTTTTTGCAATTTTCTGGGCAATCTACAATAAAAAATCCTTTCTATCTTTTTGATAATCCAATTGAATCCAATCAGAACACTTGAATTTTTCTGACCAGTTTAGATCTGACATCTCTCATCACTGTCTCATCCACAACTCTCATCTTGTACTTCCACTACAACTCTCTCAAAGGAATAAAATTGAGTCTACTTATATTGTGTAATAATGTATTGCGTCATAAGTTTACGTTTTTATTTATAATGAATTGAGTTAGATTAATCATATTAATCTTAAAAAGCGATATTTGCATTATTTTTCAATTAGAGAATCTTGAATCTGATTCTGGACGGAGGAACAGACCTAGACAACTTGGAATGATGATTGTAATAAATAGTCTAATTGTATCTTCAATGATCTGCTAAGCAAGTGCAGAAATAAGAAATCCTGGTTGTATATGTTAATTAAAACAATATGTTGTATTAGAGAAATTGGTTGTGACTGCCCCAACGGTTTTCAAAGAGACTATGAAAAGAATTGAATTGTATTGATGGAACCATGGGCGAGCTGCAAGGGAGATGCCTCCCGAATGAAATTGTCCCCAATTTACATGTTAGACAACGAAGAAAACCAGAAAAATTACCCGTGGCAAGCCCATTGATGAGGCTCGAACTCTCAACCAACTTCCAGTGTTCAATTATTTTATCCACTCGGCCATTGGTAGGCTAAGATTTAAAACTCGTGAAGAAGAGCATAAGGCCCGAAATGCATATCCATTGTAAAGTATACAAAATAAAAATCCACTTTTTCCATCAAGCGGAGTGTTCCTGTATGATATGTTCTCAATAGCAATTTTATGCTAGGTTCCAATGAATCTACAACCAACTGAGAGAACAGCAAGCAATCAAGTACATAGAATAATATAATTATTTTCTTTTAAAATTTTTCATGTAATTTAATCATGTTAGAAATAGGACATAGATTGCATTATTTTGCTTTATTCAATATTACTTCGTATAAAAACGAGTTTTTATTAATTAGAAATAAAATTAAGTCATAAAATATTTTAAAATAATATTTAAAAAATAATAATAATATAAAAATTAAGATATATAATAAAAATATTGCTTTATGGAGTAGTGGCCGAGTGGATAATACCACTGAACACTGGTAGTTGGTCGTGAGTTTACGCCTTGCACGTCGGCGATGTGTGAACTCACGACCCAATTGCCAGTGTTCAGTGGTTTTCGGATTTTCTTTACGTGTCTAACACCTAAACAGAGGCCAGTTTCACAATTTAAAGTTATTTTAAAGTAATTCTAAATAGATAAAGAAATGATATCTTTAATTATAAATGTTTATGCGAATGTTTATAGTTACGAATATTTTCGTTTACTTTAACATTTAAATAAGACAAGATTTTAAGTACAGTACATCCATATATATAAATGAAGATGTTTGTTTGTTTTCTATACATTCCTAAGCCGTTCGACCAATTGCTTCGAAGCTCGACAGTTAAGTTTACACACTTCTAAGTTAGATAATGTCGTACATCTCACCCCAAAATATCTATTAAATTTCTGTAAATGAATTAATTTCTATCCTCATTCGATTTGCTGATTTACACGTAACGCCATCTATTGGAAAAATTTA